ACTAGCCTAGCTTTAGTAGACTAGGCTTTTTACTACTTAGCTACCTTACTAGTAGTAGAAGCCTTCTAAGTTCTTAAGCTATTTATCTATATATATATTAAAAGTAGACTATAAGTCTTAGAAGGTAATATAGGCTTCTAGTGTACTATATAGTAGAGGCTACTTAATAGTAGGCCTAGCTAAGTCTATAGTACACCTGTTTATTTTTCCCTAGTCTTCCTTCTATATAATATTATTACTTATCTTATCTTCTAAGTAGGTGTTACCTTTAAGCTATATAATAACTATACTAGTAGTAGTATAGCTACTAAAAGTAAGAATATAGGGAGGTAAGTAAGATATAAGCTATACTACTTAACTAGTATACTATCTACCTATTACCTTTATATAGAACTAGTATATAAAGAAAAAATATAAAATATAGTATAAATATAAAATATAAAATATAAAATATATAAAATATAAATATAAAATATAAATATAAAATATAAATATAAAATATAAATATAAATATAAATATAAATATAAATATAAATATAAAATATAAATATAAATATAAAATATAAATATAAATATAAATATAAATATAAAATATAAATATAAATATAAATATATATATTTATATTTTTATATATTATATTTTCTTAATACACTATATAGAATAAATTAGACTAGTAAGCTTTAGAGGCCTATAACTTAGCAATAGGGCGTCCTATAGTAAAACAGATTAGATATTTAGAACTAGGCTAAAAAAAGGACCTAGACCTATATATAAAAAGGTAGGGCTACTCTAGGACTTAAACCTAGACCTTTACCTTTACTAGTTACTGTTTAAGATATAGTTAGAGGTATACTCTACTATTAAGCTAAATAGCCTTTCTCTTAGTTATAAGACTAAGGGAAAGTGTTATCTATATAGTTAATAATGCTTTTATAGTAGTATACCCTATTTATACACTAGTAGCTAGGATAGCTAGTCTAGTTAAGTGCTAATTAAGCCTATATAGTTAGTATAGTAATATAGTAATATAATATTAGTTATTAGTGTATATATAGGCTACTACCTAAGCCTAACCTATGTATACTACCTAGGTTAATAGCCTATAGGCTAATAAAGATAACTACTAGCCTTTAGCCTAATGTATACCTAATTAGCCTAGTAATCTAATAAACCTCTAGACACTAGCTAGTCTAACTTACCTAGATAGACCCCTAATATACTTAATTCTACCTCCTAATTAGGAAGTAAGAAGCCTATAGCCTTATATATAACTTGCCTAGGAGAGCCCCTAGGGTTCTTATACTACCTATAGCTAAAAGAAAAAGAAAGCTAGTATATTATATATCTATATATATATATATTATATATAGATATATATATAAATATAAATAATTTAGTTTAGAATTAGAAAAAAACCTATATTCTAAAATAATATTTTTAGAAATTAGTAAAGATACTATATATATATTTTATAGAAATAGAATAAGGGCGTTTTTATAGGAATAAATAAAGGCGTTTTTATATAAACAGAATAACTAAGGGGTACTTTTATAGGCGCCCTAGGCAGTATAGGCAAAAGTAAGTCTAACCTCTAGGCAAAGGCAAGGCTAACCTTTTAACTATAATACCCTTATTACCTAGGCCTCTAGTAGTACCTCCTTTAAGCTATATTAAAAGAAAAGAAAAATAACTTTATCTTTCTACACTAAGTAGGCTATAAGAGTAAGTATATTATAAAGTAAATAAGGACTTATTTATATATAGGCTTATAAACCTATAGTCTCTTCTTTTATTTATCTTTACTCTTCTTTAATCTACCTTTATTTCTCCTTAATATAATCTATTTTTATCTTATCCTATAGCTAAGTAGTAGGCACCCTTTATATAGGTAAAAGAGAGGCTAAATTTATCCTTAGTAGCGCTATAACTAAGGGGAATAAGGCAATAGGCAGTTAACTTAAACCCTAAGGCCTTTTAATATTAACTATACTATTAAGATTAAGGAAATCTAGCCTTAAAGGTTAATAGAAGGGGCCTTTTATAGGGGTCCTAGGTAGCGCATAGGCAAAAGTAAGGCTAACCTCCTAGGCAAAGGCAAGGCTAACCTTTTAACTATAATACCCTCTTTATCTAGGCCTTTAGTAGTACCTCCTTTAAGCTATATTAAGATAAGGAAAAAATAACTTTATCTTCTATACTAAGTAGGCTACAAGAGTAAGTATATTATAAAGTAGATAAGGACTTATTAATATAGTAGGCCTTACTAAGCCTATAATCTCTTTTTTAATCTTATCTTTTGTTCTTCTTTAATATAATCCTATTTCTTATTATATCTTCTAGCTAGAGAAGTAGGTGCCCTTTATTAAGGTAAAAGAGAGGCTAGATTTATCCTCTAGTAGCACTATAACTAGGGGAGAATAGATAAATACCCTATGCTTAAGCACTATAACTACTAAAAGATAAAACACTAATATCTACTATAGACTTAAAAACCTATTAACTAAGTATTAATAGTAAAGTAGGCTATAAGAGTAAGTATATTATAAAGTAGATAAGGATTTACTTCTATAGTAGGCCTTATAAAGCCTATAATCTCTTCTTTAATCTATCTTTTTTACTTCTTTAATATAATCCTATTTCTTATTATATTTCTAGCTAGAGAAGTAGGTGCCCTCTATTAAGGTAAAAGAGAGGCTAGATTTATCCTCTAGTAGTACTATAACTAGGGAAAATAGATAAATAGCCTATACTTAAGCACTATAACTACTAAAAGATAAAACACTAATATCTACTATAGACTTAAAAACCTATTAACTAAGTATTAATAGTAAAGTTAGCTATAAGAGTAAGTATATTATAAAGTAAATAAGATTATTATATATAGGCTTATAAGCCTATAATCTCTTCTTTATTTATCTTTAGTCTCTTCTTTAATCTTATTTTTAGTTTTCTTTAATATAATCCTATCTTTATACTATCCTATAGCTAAGTAGTAGGTACCCTTTATCTAGGTAAAAGAGAGGCTAAATTTACCCTTTAGTAGTACTATAACTAAGGGAGAATAAGGTAATAGGTAGTTAACTTAAACCCTAAGGCCTTGTTAATATTAACTATGCTATTAAGATTAAGGAAATCTAGCCTTAAAGGTTAATAGAAGGGGCACCTTTTATATAGGACCTAGGTAGTGCGTAGGCAAAGTAAGGCTGCCCTCCTAGGTAAAGGTAAAGCTAACCTTTTAACTATAATACCCTCTTTATCTAGGCCTTTAGTAGTACCTCTTTTAATAGTACTATTAAGATAAAGACAAAAATAACTTTATCTTTATACTAAGTAGGCTATATAAGTAGGCATCTTATAAAGTAAAGGTTAATTTATTTATATAGTAGGCCTTATAAAGCCTATAATCCCTTCTTTAATCCTATCTTTAGTCCTCCTTTATTATAATCTTAATTCTTATCTTATCTATAGCTAGAGCAGTAGGCGCCCTCTATCTAAGTAAAACACTTAGGCAAAGGGCAAGTCTATTTATCTAATATATAGCTAGTATATTATTTATATAGCCCTTTCTTAACCTAATACTCTATAGGTACTTTATATTCCTATAGGTTATATTAATAGGATAGTATAGCTAGGCAAAGACTAGGCTAACCTCTAGGCAAAGGCTAAGTCTATTTATCTAATATATAGCTAGTATATTATCCTATCTAGCCTCTCCTCTACCTATTACTCTATAGATATTTCTTATTCTATAGATTATATTAATAGGACAGTATAGCTAGGTAAAGGCTAGGCTAGTTTATAGTAGGCTAGTAGAAGTTATATAAGATAGATAAGTAAATAGGCAGAATATTTCTATAAGTACATTAGATTATATAGATAGGCTTACTAGTAAGCTAGTTAGTAGCTAGTGCCTTAGTTACCTCTGTACTAAAGAGATATATAGATAAGGCTAAATAGATAAGTAGATAAATAGACAGGTTAATAGGTAGGCACCTCTAGGTAAAGGCTAAGTCTATTTATCTAATATATAGCTAGTATATTATCTTAAATAGCCTTTTTCTTTACCTATTACTTTATAGGTACTTTATATTCCTATAGGTTATATAAATAGGACAGTATAGCTAGGTAAAGGCTAGGCTGTTCTCTAGGTAATAGCTAGGTCTATTTATCTAATATATAGCTAGTATATTATCTTATTTACCTCCCTAATTATTTATAGCTAAGTAACTTTTACTTACCCCTTATACTACCTAACTATTTAATACTATAATATTATAGCCTATTATATTATAGAAGATCTTTTGCCTAGTAATAGTAATATAATTTTAGGTCTATTTATCTATATATAGCTAGTATATTATCTATTTATCCTCTTTATTAATACTATTCTCTAGGGGTTTTTTATATTCCTATAGATTATATTAATAGGACAGTATAGCTAGGCAGAAGCAAGGCTAACCTACTAACTAGGCAAAAGCAAGGCTAACCTCCTAGGTAGGCAAAGGTAAGGCTAACCTTCTAACTAGGGCAGGCTATCTCTATCTAGGCTTTAGTAGTACCTCTTTTAAGCTATATTAAGATAAGGACAAGAATAACTTTATCTTCTACACTAAGTAAGCTATAAGAGTAAGTATCTTATAAAGTAAATATTAATCTATTATATAGTAGGCCTTACTAAGCCTATACTCTCTTCTTTTATTTATCTTTAGTCTTCTCTTAATATAATCTTTTTCTTATCTTATCTTATAGCTAGAGCAGTAGGCGCCTTTTATTTAGGTAATAGAGAGGTAAAATCTATCCTCTAGTAGTACTATAACAAAGGGAGAACTAGCTATTAACCTAAACGCTAAAGCCTTATTAATACTAATTACCTATTAAGATTAAGGAAATCTAGCCTTAAAGGTTAACAAAGGAGGGCCTTTTATAGGTGTCCTTAGTAATATATAGGCAAAAGTAAGGCTAACCTTCTTACTAGGCAAAGGCAAGTAAGGCTAACCTTATGCTCTTTTTTCTAGTAATATATTTCTTCTCTACACTATAACTTAACCTTAGTAGTTATATAAATTATATATTAATACTACTATAGAATAATACTTCCCCCTTTAGTGTGCCTCTAGGGGTTCTATTAGTTAACTAAGGTAGGTTAAACACTAGCTTCTTTCCTCTTAATAGTCTATTTTAGTTTATTCTCTTTTACTAACCTTTTACTCTAAGTAACTTATCTTTAGTAAGGCCTTCCTTTATCTTTTTCTATTTATAGCCTACTCTTTTACCTCTATAAAAAAGGCTAAAGGTATTAGACCTTATAGTAAGCTATATAATCTCCTTCTATATAATAATATTACTAATATATAGCTATAATAGTGTACTACTTACTTACTTACTCTCTAGTCTTTTTAGACAGTAGTCCTTAGTTAACCTTTCTTTAATTTCTTTAATAACTTATAGTAGAACTACTACTTAGTCTCTAGGAGCAAGAGCTACTATAATATCTTTATTTAGTCTTACTATTAAGTAAAATCCTATATAGTTTACAGTGTATATATATATAGCCTATCTATTATAAGTACTTACCTTATTTACCTTATCTTAGTTACTTATATACTTAATAGCTTAATACTTATAAAAGGAAGTAGTACTATATAACCTTACTATCTAAACGTCTAATAATATATAGTAAGTAGTACATTTATTTCTTCTTTTTTCTAAAATTTCTAGAAATAGATTACTAATTCTTATTCCTTAGGCAGTAGTATAGATAATCCTAATAACTACTTTCCCTTAATTAGAGGACCTAAATTCTTATAAAAGCTAGATAACTACAAGGGCCTTAAGAATAACCTCTATAGGGACTTATAGTCTACTAATAGCTTACCTAATTATAAGGAGTATATTACTTACTAGGCGTTAAAGGCACTAACTACCCTAGTTACTAGTAATTTATATATATATATAGCACCTAAGCCTTAAGATAACACTTAATAAAAAGCACCTATTCTAAGTAAATAGCTTAGGATAAGGAAGGCTTATAAGTAAGAACTATACTTCCTACTATACCTATTACCTTAATTAATTAAGTCTTATAGATATACCCTTAAGCACCTTATTATACGCTAATCCTTTACTAAGGTAAGACTAATAAAGAGCTCTTTATTAAGCTAGTAAAGAGTAGATAGCTATTTAGTTACTACTAGAAGAGTACTATTAAGTTTATAGTAGTAAGAGTAGTAATATTAAATTTAACTTAGACTAATTTACTGTCTATATTACTACTACTAACTAGGGGAAGTACTATAAGTAATAACTATATTTATATAAATATAGCTGCCTTAGCATCTAGGAATATAGTTCTACTACAAGAGAATATATATAGAAGTATACTATTAGAGAGAATAAGTAGCTTTCTATTAGAGGTATACCTTTTATAGAACTCCTAATTAGTAACTATAGCTCTTTAGAACTAACTATAGGATCTAAACTATAGATATACTTATACTTAAGCACTATAATTACTAAAAGACAAAACACTAACGTCTACTATAGGCTTAAAAACCTATTAACTAAGTATTAATAGTATTACACTAGATTTATATAGGCTATAGACTTAGTAAAGTATATTATTAGTTATCTTTTATAGCTTAGGACAAGAAATAATAAGTTATCTTCTAAGATTTTTAATCTACCCTTTATATAGGGTAGACAAAAAGTATAAAAACTTAGAAGCTTTTTATTAATAGTAAAGGTAATATTAGAGGACTAATTTCTATAGCGTAGTTACTACTATCCTAGAATTTATCTAGAAGGAGGCTTCTAGAGTTCTTAGACATAAGGTTAGATTAATATACCTATAGAAGCTCTAGAAGAAGATTAGTCTCTCCTTTAATATACACTTAATTATTATCTTATCCTATAGCTAGAGCAGTAGGCGCCCTCTATTAAGGTAAAACGCTCTAGGTAAAGGCTAAGCCTATTTATCTAATATATAGCTAGTATATTATCTTATATAGCCTTTTTCTTACCTATTACTCTATAGGTCCTTTATATTTATATAGGTTATATTAATAGGATAGTATAGCTAGGCAAAGGCTAGGCCCTCTAGGTAAAGGCTAGGTCTATTTATCTAATATATAGCTAGTATATTATCTTATCTAGCCTTTTTCTCTACCTATTACTCTATAGGTACTTTATATTCTATAGATTATATTAATAGATAGTATAGCTAGGTAAAAGTAAGGCTAACCTCCTAGGTAGGCAAAGGTAAGGCTAACCTTTTAACTAGAATAGGCTATCTATATCTAGGCCTTTAGTACTACCTCTTTACTACCCCTTATACTACTAGACTATTTAATACTATAATATTATAACCTATTATATTATAAAGACCTTTTGCCTAGCACAGTAATATAATTCTAGGCTAATTTATCTAATATATAGCTAGTATATTATCTTATTTAGCCTATTTCTCTACCTATTACTCTATAGGTACTTTAGGTTCTATAGATTATATTAATAGGATAGTATAGCTAGGTAAAGGCTAGGCTAACCTTCTTATTAGTAAAGGTAAAGCTAACCTTCTAACTAGGATTTTATCTTAGCCTATAGTGTATCCTATAACCTATATATTAAGAAGTGTTATATTAGTAATTATAGCTACTTTAGTATTTTTTATCCCTATATATATAACCTTAAGGCTAAAGACAGTAACCTATTACCTAATTATATCTATTTCCTAGAGAAGGTCTAGTGTAAGTATAAGATCCCCTTATAGATCTTATATCCTAGCCTTTACTATACTACTAGCGCCTATTACTAGTAGAAGGATAAGTTTACCTAGATTATTATACCTTAAGTTATATAGCTAATATTAACTAAGTAAATAATATAGACCTACCTAAGGCTCCTAATAGCACTAACTTATACTTAGCCTTAAATATAAAGCCTTTTAGCTTTATTATTAAGGAGCTCTAGTACTAGGGTAAGCTTTATAGTAATATACTCTCCTATAGTTCCTTGCTCCTAGGATAAACCCTTATAATAGGCGCTATACGCAAGAGGTAAAACCTCTAGGCGTATATCTCTATAATTATAAAGGCCTCCTTAGTACCCTATAGACATTAGACCCTAAGGGACAAGGTGCACTAGCTACTAATAATAATACTACTACTAGGTTATATAACTAAGTAGCCTTAGTATTATAGGGCCTAATAGTAATAAAGATAACAAGGGTAATATAAACACTACCTTCTATAAAGGTTAGTTAGTAGCCTTTAATTATTATAACTTTATCCTTCTAGGACGTTAATATAGACAAGGCTACTACTATTACCTTTATTAAAGAGGCTAATCTATTTACTGCCTTATTACCTATGCTAAGGACCTAGAGAGTAATACTGCTGCCCCTATTAACTATAATGCTCTTATAGCTAAGTCTAAGGGTAAAAACCTTATTACTTACGTTAACAAGGAATCTACCTTTGTCCTTAGCTATAAGTTTACTAAGACACTAATCTACTTATACCTACTTAGAGGCCTTAGGTACTTCTATTATATAGTTAATAAGAACCTTAACCTTCCTTAACCCTTAATATAATAAGCTATAGTATAGCTTATTAAAATACTAAATATAGAACTATAGTATAGTTAATAAGAACTATACTTAGATAAAATAAAGATAATAAAGACTATATAGTAGGTATTAAGTATAGTTAGTAAGTATACTAGAAAAAATATAAAAAAATATATAAAAGCTAATTAAAGATAAGTAACCTTTATCTACTAAATATAGTAACTATAGTATAGTTAAATAAGAACTATACCTAGATAAAAGTAAAGATAATAAAGACTAGGGTATAGTTAGTTGTTTTCTATTAGAGTATAGTTAGTAGAGTATACTAGTAGAAAAACTATTAAAACTAATATATATAGAAAGCGTAGATTAAAAGAGTAAGTACCTTTATCTACTAAAATGACTATAGTATAGTTAATAAGAACTAACCTAGATAAAAGTAGAGATAATAAAGACTAGGGTATAGTTAGTTGTTTTTATTAGAGTATAGTTAGTAGAGTATACTAGTAGAAAAACTATATAAAACTAATATATATAGAAAGCGTAGATTAAGAAGAGTAAGTAACTTATTATTAGAGTAAGTAATAACCTCTATCTTTATACTTTTTATTACTAAAATTCTAGAATATATTTTAATATAGTCTTAAAGAAAGGCGTATAGACTACTCTAAGGTTATTATATTAGAAAAGGATAGCTTATATAATCTAGAAACCTACTTATAGCTATAGTAACCCTAGATATTTATATTAAGATTCTATTATAAAAGGTTACTTAAAGTAGACAGCTTAATAACTATAGACCTATTTATTTATAACCTTATCTTCTCTATTACTATATATAAGAATATTAGTTTACTATAGTTACTAATAAGGTAATAATATATCTCTATACAAGGCATAAATCTCTCTTAGCTACTAAGCGTAAGAAGATTATAAAGGCTATATAGGTATACCTTAGCATTATTAAAGCTAAGGTAGCTTAGTATTACTCTAGCTACTAAAGCTAATATTAAGTCTAATTAAGTATTTTGCCCTCCTATAGTATAATAGGCTTAAGTGTATAACGTGTAGCTATATCTACTAACGTCTTAAGGTAATATAGAGACACTATTATAAATAGTATAGTTAGGTAAATAACTAGAAGAAGGAGGTAAATAAAGAGGAAGTAGCTAAGCCTAGGAAGGTAGTATAGGTTAATAGGGTTTTATACTAGCGCTTCTTTTAACGTAGGCTAGCTACTACTAGTTCTAGGTAAGCTAGAGAGAGAGGAGATAAGGCATCTATAATAGGCTAATAAAGGCTTTAGTATATAACATTATTATATAGATTTACTAAAAATAGGCTAAATAGGCTAAGGCTTAGGAAGACAATATTATCTATAATATAAATAATAAGCTAGATATAAACTTATAGTAAAATATATTTAATAGGTAAGCACTTAGAAGAGAGGTCTATAAGTAAGCTCTAGGAAATAACTAAGCTAATTATAGAGGAGGAAGAGTCTCTAGGCTATATAGACAGTAATAGAGAGGTCTTACACTAGGCGTACACTATCTTAACCTTCTACTAGGTAGAAATATAGTATTATTTAAGGTTAGTAGAAGAGGTATATATTAAGCTAGCTAGGCTGTTTAATAACTAGTTAGAAAATTAGACATAGGAGTAGTATAAAGGTGTCTAGTAGAAGCTACTCTATATATAGAACTATACACAGGAGATAGCTAAGATAAGTAGCTCTATATTAGCTAATAGTAAGGCAAAGTAAACTATAGGACTACTTTAAAGCTGTTATATAGAAGGAGGAGGCACTTAACGTTAGGAACTAGATAATACACTAATAAAGGTAGAGTAGGCTACACTTAAGATACTTATTAGTATTCTTAACTACCTAATCTAGTAGGGTAACTACTAGAATATCTTAATTAGTATACTTATAGTAATAAGTATTAGTAAAGATAGTAGCTAGTAAAGGTTAATAACTATATAACTGTTTACTTAGCTATTATTAAAGTAAGCTAGATACTTATTATATACTAGTCTATATTAAAAGGAAGGACACTATAGTAGAGAGAGTAAAAGAGATAAGTAAAAAGGCAGCTAAGGACAAGGTCTATAGTATATTCTAGTATATAGTAAAAAAGTACAAAGGTTTATAACCTAGATATTAAGTACACCTAATGCTAAGCTAACGCTAATAAATTAGATCTTAAAGATATACATAATAGGGTTAATAATCTAGTATAGTACACTAATCCCTAGGTTAGTAGACTAGATCTAAGACTAATATTTTCTAGAGGGTATACTTTAGTATAGGCTAGCTATTAATATAATATATAGGCTAGTGTAAAGGCTAAAAGCTACTTACTAAGCTAATAATAATAGGTAAAGGCTAGGTAAAGGAGAGAAGCTATAAAAGGTACTACTAGTAATTCTATAGGTGTCTATTAAGGATAACTATAGTAAGTAATAGCTAGGCTACTTATTCCTATAGGACAACTATAATACATAGATATAGAAGGGGAGGATAAGTGTTTAGCTAGATTAGAGTGTTACTAGACTAGTACAGTAGTAGGGCGTTAACAGTAGTAGGGCAGAAGAGGCTAAGCAAAAGGTCTTCTGCTAGTAGTATAGTAAGTATATAAGCACACTTTTAAGTAGTTCTATAAGCGTCTATAGCTACTTATGTATATACTTAGTAGCTAACCTAGGTAGGCAATAGAGCTAGTAGGATCTAGTACACTAATATAGTTAGTAGAGGGTTTAGAATATACTTATGTACAATAGTTCTATATACTTTATAATAGTGTACTATAAGGGCTTCTATAGGATAAGCTAGGCTAAGTAATCTATTAGTATCTCTGTAAAAGGTAAGTAAACTACTAGTGTAGTATCTCTAGCTAGTACTACTATTTAGTAGGAGGTATAGAGGACAGTATAGGAGACTAGGGGCTATAGCGTATACCTCTAGGCTAATAAAGTTCTATAGAAAGAGAGAAGACAGTAGGACAAGGAGATAGACTAGCTAGGTAGCCTTAGCCTAGATAACAATAATAATAATAAAGAGGAGGTAGTAGTAGTATAGATATAGAAGGAGGACTAGGTGTAGATAATAGACTAGTTATAGTAGATTATCTAGTAGTGCAGCAGCTAGCTACTAAGAAGTAAGCTTAATATTAATATATAGTAGTATATTACTATTACTATTACTAACTAGTACTTAAATAAAGCGTTTAGATAGCCTAGCGTAGGCAAAGGTAGTCTAGATAAGGATAAAAGGTAAATAATATTAATAATAGCGTATAGGATCTATAGGCTAAGTATAGTACAAGAATAGCTAGGCTTATTTACTTATAGTTACTTATATAGTTTAATAGTAGGTTTATAGCTAAGCAGTAGTAGTTTTACTAGGTTAGCTAGTAGTAGTACTAGTTCTTTAACTTTAAGGTAAAAGACTATAAGGTAAGGTAAGTTAAAGTTAAGGCTAAGTAAAGGTAAAGCTATATAATAGGTCTAGATAAAGGCCTAGCTTTAGTAGTAGGTATATCTATAGTAGGTCTATCTAGAGGGGTAGCTTTAGTAGATAATAGGCTAACTAGAGGTAATATTCTAGGGGAACTAGGCGTAGGCTATCTAGGTAATTACTAATAGGTAGAGCCTAGTAGTATAGATTATAGGCATAGGCAGTAGCAAAGTGTATTATTTATACTACTAGTGTTCTACTTACTAGAGGAGGTAATAATTATAGTAATACTACTTATATTACTATAGATAGATCTATATATACACTACACTAAGGCTAGTATTAGCTTAGTAGTATAGTTAAGCTAGAAGGTACTATAGGTAGCTACTATTATATTTACTATACCTAAGTCTATAGTTAGTAAGGGTTCTATAACTTTATCTTATAGCTATAGGTAAAGTAAGTACTTAACTAGGTTATTATTAATAAGTGCTATATAGTACTAGAGAGAGTATAACGTTCTAGCTAAAGCTATAAGAGATTAGGGCAGTAGTATATAAGTTTAAGGTATAGATAGTCTACTTAATAGTAACACTTACACTAGGCAACAAGGCTATATTCTTCTATAGTATAAGGTTTAACCTATAGTAGGTAGTTATATTCTAGTCCTAATAACATAGAAGAATATCTAGTACTTTATTCTTAATGTTAAAGGTTACTATAAGGGTAAAGAGGACATAGTTAAGGTTAAGGTTTATAAGGTTATTATTATATAGGTAGAGTAGTTATAGTAAGAAGAGGTAAAAGAAAAGTAATTATTTATATAGATTCTATTAAGTAAGTAAAGTAGCTAGGTAAAACACTTAGCTACTTAATGTTCTTTAGTAGTGTTAATTTAGTTAAAGGTAAAGTAGTAT